TCCTACTTAAACTCATCAATGATTTCCAAAAAAGTTTCCCTAGGGATTTCTTGCTTAGTCATTTGCTAGCATTGAATAATGTCATTCACGGTTTCACTGTTTGTTTACATACTATTTTCCCATAGCCCTTGTATCTGTCTTTCTTCTTCTCTTTGCCTTGAATATTCATACCCCCTTCCTTGGCTGTTAAGTGACTTTTTACTGGTTCTTTCATAACTGCACAGAATTTTTTTAAGTGATGTATTTTCCAAGCATTTTTTTTTAATGAGTTGATTTCCAAAATTGCTTTTATCAGACTGATCCTCTTCTTTTTTCCAAGATACACACAATTCCATATATGTACATAAATATTATGTATATGACTTTACTGTAAATCTCAAAATTTGATGATATGAGTTTATTAAAGGATTTGTTAAAGGTTATGAATGAACAGCCAGATAAAGAGATACACAGGTCAGGGAGATTCCATGTCCTCTCCAGGTATGCCATTCATTACTCATCTCCATATGTTCACCAACTTAGAGACTCTCTGAAATCCATGTTCTTGTGGATTTTTATAGAGGCTTCATTATACAATGACTTAGTCTTGACTAAGTCTTTGGCTGTTAGCTGATTCAACTCCAGCTCCTTCCTTCTTCCAAGAGTCAGGGGGTGGGACTGAAAGTTACCATCCTTTAATGGTTGGTCCTCCTGGCAACTAGTTCCTGATCTTAAGTTACTTTCATTAATAAGACACCCATTTCACCTTTTATGTTTTTGAAGCATGTTCAGGAACTATAGATGAAGACCAGATATATCTGGGAGATATATTTTGGTCATCTGAACCATGAAACATATGTCATAAATCATTTTATCACAGAAATATAAGGGATTGTCTCTTGATTTGGGGTCCTGCATATTTCTAAATTCAGGGATTAGTTCTAGTAGAGTTTTGGAAATTCCTTAGGATTTACTTTGTAAGCAATAATGTCTCCCCAATAAAATCAATCTATGTACCCTTTATCTATTTTTCTGTTCTTCTTGTACTGGCTAATGTTGAGTAGAAACTCAAATTTTAATGTTGAGAAAAGACTTTGTTGTTTTGTTCTCAGTCTTAAAAGAAAGTGTTCATCTTTTCCCATTAGGTAGGATGATAGTTGAAGGCTTTTTTATAGATGCCCTTTACCAGGTGGGTGATGTTTCCTCATGTTACTAGTTTACTAGTTTACTGAAATTTTTATCATGGAAAGGTGTTGAATTTTTAAAATGCTTCTCCTTTATTTACTGAGATGGTCATATTTTTGTCTCTTATTCTGTTAATATGATACATTGATTAATTATTGAATGTTAAATCAACACTGCATTGCTGGAATAAATCAAATTGATTTATTGAGTGAATTTTGTTATCCTTTTTGCATATTGCTAATTGATTTGATAATATATTTTAAGGAATTTTTCATCTCTCTGTTTTCTTTTGTTGTTATGTCTTTGATTATTAGGATATCTGTAGTAGTATAAAATTACTCAGAAAGTATTATTGTTTCTTTGAATTTCAGAAAGAGTCTGCATAAGATCGATATTATTTATTTTGTACTATTTGACTGAATTCATTAATGAACCTATCTGGACCTGGAGTTTTTGTTTAACAAGGTTTGGAATCATAGTGCCAATTTTGGTAATCTTTAGTGTCAGTTTTGGTAATCTTTGTTTTTCAAGGTATTTATCCATCTCATTTAAGTTTGAAAATTTATTCATTATTCACAATATCCTCTATTCTTCTTTTAATGTATGCAGCATGTTTCCCTTTTCCTATAAATTAATCCTAGACACAAACACAGCTTAAGAAAGGGCAGGTTTCAAGGTCCATCGTTTACAAGATATCTCCAATTCATGATTGTGGCAAGACCTCTTCCAAGATGTATTTTTGTATCAAAGATTATTTTAAAGTTTATTTACAATAGTGGAATAAAAGTGAAGTGTGTGTGTGCGCGTGCGCGTGCATGTGCGCACACACACGCTTTACACAGTTGGATTGTTGAGCCCTTCCTGAGATGGCAGGGGAAGACCTTTCTACGTGGACAGCCTCCCAGGCTGGATTTCTCAATGCACTTTAGTATGATTATTATTTCATGTAACTAGGCACATATTTAAAAATTTACTGTCTTCCATAACACATTGTGTTGAAGTTTGTAAATGGAAACCTTACATCAGAATGGGAAAAGATGAGCTCTGCAGTCATACAGAGCCAATTCTGACTTGTTAGATGTAGACATGGATATTTTAACTTTCTTAATGTCTGCTTGATCATCTATAAATAGGGTTTATAATATTCTACTTTTAGGAATGCATTAATAATTACTCAAGATTATGCAGAGTTCCTGGTGCTCAGTTACTATCAGCGATTTCTGTTATCTTTAGGTTGACCTTCTCTAGACATATACAGCTTATCAATGGGGACACTTATGGGTTTCCTCAAGATGAATTCAGATTAAACATCTTCCATCCTTATTTTAGATCATCATCTAAAAGAGGACGTTATCACTAGTTTTATTTGTTTGTGTTTAATTCTGATTGCATGCTCCCTGTGGCAGTTTCTCTTTATGGGAACTTTGTTTCTGAGGGTTGAGGAAGTAATTAGATGCAGGATATTGTTTCATTCCTTCAGGGGAACACTGAATAAGAGAATTTCTAAAGTTTAAATGATCTCTCAGAGATCATTTAGAAAACAGTTCAAGATCATTTAGCAGACATTTATAGGGTTACTCATGCTACAGTTTTTCTGGAACTTTCTAGCATCCATTGCAGTTTCTCCTCAATTATTTTAAAAATGACTATTTAAAAAGAGACTCACAGAGAAGAAAGCATTCTCAGTGTCACCTCAGCCCCCAACCAGTAACACAGAGAAGAAAAACCTAGAGGACCACCACTACGTGAAAAAGTCAGTCTACATAAAAGAACACAAAGAGCCAGAAGAGAGATAATTTGTCACATGTTTTTCTACGTAAGGGCAGGTTTTCATTAACTTTATTTGTTTCTTTTTGAGAGAGAATAGTTATGGTTAAAAAAGGCTCCATATTAATATGTGTAGAAATCAAAGTAAAATTCTGCTTGCAAAGATTATCTAACACACCTGGATCTTATGATGTATAAAGCAGCAGGGTCCATCCAACGTGTGTTCTGAGAGAGCAAAGGAACACATGGGTCTGTCCTGGCCAGCAGCACGGAGATAAAAGCAACAGCTGAATAGTCTCAACAAAGAGGACCATGGGGTCTTAGTTAGAACCAACACATGGCTATGGTGTGCTTGTTGGCACATTTTCCTCTTAAAAAATTATGCATGCTGAATTTTATTGTTTTGCTCACTAAACTCTATCAATCTTCATGAGCTTATAATTAAGAAAATATTACACTTGGAAGGACTCCCTGCTATTATCAAATAACTTTGAAAAGAAATGGAGAAGTACAAGTTGTTTAACTGTTGTTACAAATTCCAGCCATATGAAATGTTAATGTAAGACCACAAGGGATTCTCACTGTGTTTGCATGCATTTTATTTTTTTAATTTATTTTAAAGATTTTATTTATTTGAAAGAAAGAGAAAGAGTGAGTGTGAGCTCCAGTGGGGGGAGGAGTAAGGGGAGAAGGAGAAGCAGACTCCCCACTGAGGAAGCCTAAGAGGATGGGGCTTGGGGGGGGGGCTGGATCCCAGGACTCAGATCAGGACCTGAGCTGAAGGCAGAGGCTTAACTGATGGAGCTATACCCGGCACCCCTGTTTGTATGCATTTTAAAAGGCCAGACTGGAACACAAAATGGGTTTCAAGCAATTTCATAAGAATAAATAGCAAGGATCAGAGAATATTTTATTTATTTTTTTATTTGCTTCACTCAAGGTTTCCACTGACCGAACCTGAGAAACAAAATCTACTAAAAAGCGCTAGGTAGCTAAGTCCTAACTGTCCCTCTGGCAGCAGATGGCAGTATTGATGCATGAAAAAAATCTTTTCCGGTTACTTTCGCAATTACCTGTTAACGTCTCCCCTCTCTAAAGTGAGGTATCTGAGCTGAATCAGAATTCCTAATCAGATCACACGGTGGTTGTCTTGTTACAGCCTTTCTTTGCCAGCTTTACTTCTCTCTTCTTTTAGTAAGAGCTGGCTTTTGTTGTTAGTTTGCTTCTTTTGTTTTGTTGTTAGGAGCAGTTTTAAGATCACAGCAAAATGGAGCGGAAGATACAGAGGTTTCCCAAATGTCTCCTACCTCCACTTATGAAGTACCGCCCCATTATCCATATCCCTCACCAAAGTGATACATTTGTTACAAGTGATGAACCTACATGGACACAGAATCATCCAAAGTCTATAGTTTACCTAAGGGTTCACTCTTAATGTACATTCTATGGATTAGACAATGTTTCCAAATGCATCACATAATGTATGATGACATGTATCCATCATTATGGCAGCATACAGAGCATTTTCACTGCCCAAAGAATCCTCTGTACTTTGCCCATTAGCCTCCCAACACACACCCCCACTACCTCCAGGCAATCGTTGACCTTTTTACTATCTCTCTGATTTTACCTTTTCTAAGATGTCATATTGTTATAGCCTTTATGGTATGTAGTCTTCTCATTTGGCGTCTTTTACTTACTAATATGCATTTAAGTTAACTATTTTTCATGGCTTCATATCTCATTTCTCTCTTTGACACTGAATAATATTCCATTGTCTAGATGTACAACTTCTCTTTCATAAAGAGATATCTTTTCCATTTGTAGCTCTCTTTAAACCTTGACAAAAATGGGATTTCAACTTCTTTCCCCCCCAAACTCCTTTTCAGTACTCAACTGTATTACTCTAGAACATACTCCATTCAGCAGACATTCTTGGGGAAACAGGCTCTCAAGCCTCCCCAGGCCACAGGCGTTCAGAATACTCTCCTTCCTGTATCTTCTAGTTGCTTCTCCGAAGTGGAACTTCCCTGAGTCAGGTGGCAATAAAGAGTCTCTGCTCCCTTTAGATCCCTGGAACATCATCTGTGGTTCAGAGAAAGTGGAAGCCGCTGCAGCCTGCTTCACAGCCTCGAGGGCCAGGACAGCAGACCAAGTCCAGGATTAGCGCTGTGGCCGCTGAAATAAAGCAGATCCGAGCCAGACGGAAAACAGCCCGGATGCTAATGGTTGTGCTTTTGGTGTTCGCAATTTGCTATCTACCAATTAGCATCCTCAACGTGCTCAAGAGGTAAAGTTCACCTATTATTTGAAAATAAAGTGGCTGTCATTTCTTGGTTCTTAGTGAAGAAGTTTTTTGTTTTTTGTTTTTATTTTTTTATTCTTTTTTTTTTTCTTTTTCCTTCTTAAGCCAGAGAAAAATCTAAGCCCTTTGCCTAGATAGTGTCAGGCCAGATAACTCATTGTGGTGTTGTTCCTAACAATTAACTGGGACAGCCTTTTAGAGTGTGCAGACCCTACATGCTCTTGTCCGTGGAAGTTCTCTGTTGAATGGCAGACATAAAAAAGATGTTCCCCTGACCTCTTCAAGCTAATTGCTGAGCCTTAGATGGAAAAAAAGTTCTATGCAAAAATAATAAGTAAACAAACAAAAAACAAAAAAACCCAGAAGCCAAAAGCAAAACAAACAAAAAAAAACCTCATTTACAGCTTGGAGTTCTGTTTTGATCAAAACAAATGGGCTTTTCCAAAACTTTGTTCTCATACATAGGGAATTATGACACAATTCTATCTAAAAGATTAAAAAAAAAAAGATAGAGGTCTTTTTTTAGCATTCTAGTTATACTAATTAGTATATTAATTATACTAATTTTATTTAAAAGGTTATTTTTTCAGAAGTAAAATAAATGTATAGGGGAAGGGGGAAAAAGGAGCATTTGTGAGTGCACACACACACAAATGGAATCAGGGCCCATACTGTGTTTTGAATCTTTAAATAGAGAGAACAAAGCCATTTCCTCAAGTCACTGAATCAAGAGCTCAGGATGACTATTAATAAAAATTAGCATGTAACTTTTCAGTGAGAGAAAATGTGTTATTTGTTAGGCTGCAGATACACTGTTAAGTTAAAACAATGGACTGACAGGAACAGCCAATGCAGAGGCTGTGGTACACATGAACTTCACAGCCAGCCAACTTTATTGGGAATTATCATAACTGTTGCAAACAGACTCGCCCCAAGGTAATAGTAATTTTGTTTATAATAGGCTTCGAACCTAAACTAGGATTGCTCTTCTCACTTTTCCCTGATTCAGAGTCAATATCATATTCCTCACAGCTGGAGACTCTGGAGAGCAGCAGCTTTGGCTGGAGTCACACACTAAAGGTGGTATAACCAGCTGCAAAGATTTCTCATTCTTCTTGGCCCTTGTTTCTGATTACTTAATAAGTCTTCCAATGGAAAATGAACTTTTGTTTAGTAGTATTATTTAGTACAGATGCAGTCTTAAAGGCATGAGATTTTCAGCAGCATGGGGCCTTGAGATAGGTACTGGCTCACAAGAAACTGTAAGCTACTTTGCCCTCCATAGCTTTTCATAATTTCAGTCTTATTTTTCTGGATTACAGAAATCCCATACGAATTTATCCTGGTCTTGGGCTAGATGCTGTTTTCTATTCTTAAGAACCTTTTAAACATGCTATGATACTGAATGATTTTCTCCTTTTTTTTTTTTTTAACTCTTTGTACTTTTATGGTACTCAGTCTAAATTCAACAAAAAAGTCAGATTTACTGCTCTCTGAACTGCTCATTGGGATTCCCTGAATCTCGCCACTTGGACGGGTCCTTTAGCTAGTTCCAAATATCTACTTGTCCATAATAGTTCTCTTATTTTTAAGTTAAAGACCTCCCTTTCCAATGAAAATAAATAGCTAAGAAGAAAGTCTATGTTAAAATATTTTCAATTTTTTGAGCATTCTGCTCTTTTCCATAAGACTTGAGAAAAATTTGAGAAAAACACTCCTTTTCTTCAAAGGCTTACCTCTGTGTCTGCCCTTGTAGGTTATGCTTGTATTTCCTTTCTTTTACTAAGACATTCCTAAACTCTTCCTTAAAACAATTTTTTGCCTGACTAGTTAAAACCAACTTCTTTAAAGCAATTCTGGTTTGTCTAGGATTTCAAAGATATATTATGCTAGAGGGTCAGAACATACCATTAATTCCATTTGTCCAGGTTATTCCACTCCATATCATATTTTTGTAAAACTCCAGTACTCCACAGAGGATCACTTGATTCCAGAAATGCATTTCTATTATGGGCACCGTCATGTAATCAAATTACACAATCAATGGTGCAGGATCGTGCAGGAAATGCGTTATCATCTTCAGCCTGTAAAATTTATTAAGTAGTTAGTTACCAGCTACCTGATATTGGCTAGTGGATTAAATTTGAAAGATGAGATATTTCTGAGCATGGAACAAATCTTAAAAATGATGTTTAAGGGTAAAATAATGAAATATTTTTCAGAGTTTAAAATAATAAATAAAAATACTAAAACTCATGTATTTTAAGAAGTTATCAGAACTTTGCCTACAGAAAACTAGTTTCCCTCTGACTGTAATGAAGTCCCAGAATTCAAATTTCAAGAAGGCTGGGAAGATGGTAGTTGAAAAAAAATGTGATACTTTGGTCAGTGCACAAAAACAGGTAGGAAGAAAGACTCAAAGACTGCAGTTTAGGAGGCTTTTTAAATGACACTCAAAATGGAGTAGTAACAAATATTGTTCAATTGTATTTAGAAATGAAACAAAAGAAGGGACATAGAAATATATTTGACTTCTGTTCTCTTACTCACCAGAAATAGTATTGCATTTGTTGTTTAAAGGAAAGAGAGATCATTCCTGCTTGATTTTGCCTTTGACTTGCTAATTGTGCCATGGAGACTTTGTTCAGGTACCAACATTTTTCTAAACCCAATATGGCGCCATAAACCAGTGCCTGCTGCAGAGGAGGACAGGAGTTAATTAGGCAGCTTCCATCAAGGGCTGCATTCACCCAGGAATTTCATTATTTGAAATGTACTTTTCAAAATCACACTGGAATTCCAGTGATTGTTTTTTGTTTTGTTTTGTTTTTCCTACAGAGTATTTGGGATGTTTACCCACACAGAAGACAGAGAGACTGTGTATGCCTGGTTTACATTTTCACATTGGCTTGTATATGCCAATAGTGCTGCGAACCCAATTATTTATAATTTTCTCAGTGGTGAGTTGTCAACTGTTCCTTCCATGTAAGCCACAATCCTTACCAAGGATGAGGGATCAATGACCAGAAGGTTTTGAACACTCTTGAAATGTGTGAAGAGCTTAATTGCTCTACAATGAGATTTTTTCCCCCCAGATCTAATTTGACTTGAGGTTTTGCCCTTATGAGAGGGAGCACATGTTACCTAACTCATCAGAGAAAATCATCTAACGCATTTTCCCACAAAATTTAAAAGAAATGTTGAAGAAAGTCAGGAGGAAAGTGAAAATTGTGAGAATTGAAGAACACAGAATCCTGTTTGCCATACATTAAATTTATGATTTACCAACATGTAAAATAATTTTGTCTGAAAGTAGTACAGACTTACTATATTATTTCCTTTGCCAACACTGAGATTGCCTCACTGAGATTGAACTGGAACCCTTCCACTTTTGGGTATTTTTCTACATTTACATTTCTCTTGTGAGTAACATCGCTTGGGGTTATCTCAAGATTTCTCACTAACCACAAAAAATGACTACTTCTAAATAATATACAAGCTAAATGACACACACAGATATACATCTGTAACTGATTTATTCTTTCTCGGTGACGAAACCAATGTAATTGTAAAAATCATTTAACTAGTTGTTTTATTTACAAACATTTTGCCTGACTGACCTTTAGAATTGTGTTTTAATTAGCTACATCTGTACACTGTCTTCTTCTCTAACCAGTTGGCTATTTCTGTTTCATTGCTATCTTCAAATATATGATAATTTTAGCAATTCATTTTACTGTGTACTTAATAAAGTATGTGTATTTTCCAACTTCATCTTTGGCCTTGTAGGTTATATGGGTTATTTAAAAAAAAAAAAAAAAGGAAGAAGGAGAAGAAGAAGACAAATGACCAGTTAATTAGATTTTTTTAAACAATTTTCATTGTTTTTTCCTCAATCGTGGCATATATACCCTATATATGTATAAACCTGCTTTATTTCACCTTTCAGAGACTCAGGTGATATATATGTGGGGTTTGTTTTGTATTGAATTGCCCCTTTTCTTGCCTTCTCCTGCCACACCCAGCCCCTGTCTCCAGAATAAAGACGGCATTAGATTGGAGATAACCAGAGACAACTCACTGCTCATGTGCTAGGTTTGAGGGGTTGAGGGGCCATGTGGAGCTATGGCTTTGGAAGCAATGAAGAAGCTGCTGCCCTGGGATTAGAAATGACTAAAGCCCTGAGCCTTGCACTAAGCAGATCAAACTTCCCAGAAAGTTACAGGGAGAAATGTTTGAAGTCAAGGTCACAAGTCAAAGTGCGCTTGTGGGGTGGATTAAGGCAGGGAAGGTGGCTGGAACCCGTGGAGACCTGGGATGTGCCTGCAGTTGTCCAAGTCCCTTGAACATTCACTTCTTATGTAATCACTCAATCACCTGCTTTGGTGATGGAAACTCAGAGAAGAGAAATGTTGATTCCCCATCCTGTTCATTTATCCTTAAAAAGGTGACTGTTTCATTTTCATACTTCTCCAATTTCATGTCAGTGATTTAAAGGCAAGAAATAACTTCTAAAGTAGGTAATTTTTTTCTTCTGTTTTTTGTTCTGCCTCATGCAGATTATGAAACTTTAAGAATTTTTCTATATATGTTAAGATTTTTTTTCTAGATTCTTTGTTGAACTGAGTGTGTCAGTAGATCAGTTTCTTCAGAGTCCAGTGCAAGGGTAATTTCTGTACTGTCGTGGCTATATACAACACAAGTTTCATCATTTTTGAAATTATTAAATATCTCTGGACATCCTACTAATGATCACTTTCTTTACAGCTATCTGTAAAAACCCACAATCACAAATGTAGAAGGTTTGCCTCTAAAGAAAAGAAACCAACTCCAAACATCACACATGAAAAGCAGTTACATTATTTTATGGAAATACCTTATTGTTTCAAGAGTCTACCAAACTTCCAGTAACCCAATTTCCTCTTCCTATTTCCCCCTTTTTGCAAAATGTTGTACCTCATTGTTGGTTTGGCTCAAGGGAGCTACTGGGTTATATCCTATTCATGATTTGTTAAACGCTATTTATGTGTAATTCTTTTTCCTTTCATTCTCCCTGGTTTGCCAGGAAAGTTTCGAGAGGAATTTAAATCTGCGTTTTCTTGCTGTTGCCTTGGAGTTCATCATCGCCAGGAGGACCGGCTCACCCGGGGCCGAACGAGCACAGAAAGCCGGAAGTCTCTGACCACCCAGATCAGCAACTTTGACAACATATCAAAACTCTCCGAGCAAGTTGTGCTCACCAGCATAAGCACACTCCCAGCAGCCAATGGAGTAGGGCCACTTCAAAGCTGGTAGAATTTTCATTCATAGGACAGGGATATCTGGGTAAAACTATTCTTTTTTTAAAAATCTCTGTACACACAAACTTTACTATCCTAATGATTTGAAGCTAAAATTACTTTGTTGAAAGTTTTTAAAAAATTTTCCTTCTTTCTTTCTCTCTCTCTTTCCTTCTTTCTCTTTTTAAGCTATTACTCTTTGGAAATAAAAAGAAAAGTCAGTTTAAAATAATTTCTCAACTTTTGATTTAAACATGTTAGAAGTTTGACTTTCAACTGAATTTTAGGCTATTCACTTTTAGCTTTACGTCTTATAATTTGTGTCAATTAAATGTTTGAATATTTTTAATTTTAATTGTTATTTTACTCTCTCACTTTCAGCTTTGTTGCAAAAAATTACCAAGAGTAGTCCAATGATTTTCTTTTAAAAGAAGTAGCAATTACTAACTCTGAATTCACAACAGACATGTTAGCTGATTTCATTGTTTAAAAAAAATTACAAAAGACTGTCATTATGATGTGACCTCTGAGAGAATATTTATATACAAAATAGCATATTATATTAGGTAATCAAAAGCTATCTTTCAAAACTATTCAAAAATATATACTATTAAACTTTAATTTCCATTCATTTGATCACCCATTTACACAATTTTCTCAGGTTTGTAACCTTACCGTTGCTCACATTTCTCATCTCAACATATGGCCAGTAAGACTGTATTAACATAACAATTTTGGAGTAACTACAAATACTAACAATCTCCATCTCTAAGAAAAGACTTCAATATTTGAGAATACGGTAGAATTCTTTTACGGGTAGAACCCATAAAAATGTCACAGTTGGCCTCGCTGGATTAAATTAAGAATGCAGTTTACAAAGGAGTAGTGGACTACTACGTCACATATGGGGACAGTTACTACTGTCATGGAGATGTGATGATAAATATTTGCATTTATTTGAACTTCATAAACATTAATCAAATACAAGCACCCACTGTGCTAGGTGCTGGAGAATGAGGTAGAGACGGATGTACACGTGCCTTCACAAGAGCTCTTGATTACTGAGGGACACATGTTGATAGAGTTTACAGGACAGCAAAGCATTCTGGGGGGCAGATTCAAACGTGGGTGGAGCAGTGAAGCAACCAACACGGGATGTGAGCAGTAAAGTTGTCCTGTTTTGTTTCTGATTCATTATAGTGACATGGTTGATGTCAGCAAATTCCGTGCAGGCCTGCAGGTAGTTAGGAGGGAAGTGCTGGCTCCTGACTCACACACAAAGGACTAGCCACTTGGCGTACTTTGTACAAGTGTGAGAGCTGTGATCCAAAACACTGAGTATTTCCACCTTGTCCCTCCTCAAAATGCTTCTAATTCAAATATTCATTTGAAAATTGAATTGAAAGTAAGAGATGTTCATGAAAGTTGCTCTTCTTCTCGCATGACAGCAACAGGTATCCTTATTTTTATTGAAACAAAAGATGTGGAGCATAATATTTAAGAAAGATTTTTATAGACACTGAAAATTATCTCATTCGTTGCCTGCTATTTTCCAACCCATCACTTTCCAAAAGAAAACACAAGCAAATTGTCCACAATTCATTTTCCTGTTTTAAAATTGGGGGCTACCTTGTGCTTTTTTCCTACTCAAAGCAAAAAACAACCCTCACAGACAAGGTTTATTGAAATTATATTCCTAATTATCAGAAAGATAATGACAAAAGCAAAGTGTTATAACTCTCTCCTCCTTTCCCTTTGTACATTTGAGAACTTTCTTGTTTATGCTGCATGAGAGGAGTGTTGTAATATTCAGATTGTGAGGGGAGCTAACATCTTAAACAGTTTGAGGATCCCTTAACTAATATTGATAATATGCCTCAATGCCTAAGTAGTATCAGAGAATAAGAGCTGGATTATAGACTGTAATATAGTCTAGTTCTTTATCATTTAAGGAGAGAGATTGAAGGACAGAGAAAAAGAGAAAGAGGCTCAGAGAGGCAGTCATTGTATGACTGCCTGTTAAGAACAGACTCAGAAGTCAAGATGCCTTTGCTCTAAATCATTGATTCTCAAAATGCAGTTTCTGAACCATCAACAAACATCAGCCTCACCTAAGAGATTACTAGACATGCAATCTCAGATCTGCTGAATCAGAAACTTTGGGGGTGGCACCCAGGACTCTGTGTCTTAACAAACCCTACAGGTTTTCCCAAAACACCTGGAAATTTGAGAATCCCTGCTCCAAATAACCATCTGGCACCTGCTAATTAGCCCACGCAAAATTAAGTATTTTACTGCACAGGTATCTGCCACAGGGACCATTGTCATCACTCCTGTCAACCTGGTTGGAGGTCTGAAAGAAGAGCCTGAGTATGAATGTGGAACATCATTCAGTGTCATCTTATTCAAAGAAATAGTGGTTTATGAACCAATTGTTCTGCATGACCAGCACAGTGTGAGAGAAGACTGGTTTTAAAGCACTTATGTACTTTTACGGATACCTGGATGACTTGAGTTTCTAACTAAAACTTTTAAAACTCCAATTTTACGTACACTGACTAAAGGCTAAGTCTTGTGGGAGCAGATAGTTTCTAAGAATGATCATTGCCTGGAAGGAAAACAAACACACACCAGTACATGCAAGAAACCGTGTTGATGGAATAGCAGACTGTATGCATTGCTTTCAACATGTTAATTCTTGAGTCCTTCTGAGAGGTCTGGATGGAGTATGGTTACCTTCCTAGGACAAGTGGTAAAGAAAGAGTTGTCTCCAAAGCCTGCCAATCTTATGGAGCAAAGCGTCAACTTCTCACCTCATTCTGTGTTAATAACACAAATGAGAGACTTCTTATGAAAAGAATGTGTTGCAACTGTTTTATTCTCTACATAGAATATGCATCTGTCTGTTTTGCTATATTTTAAAGATTTAATGTAAAATGTCACTAGCGTTACTGAAATTTTGTTATCAAAATGGATGAGATCATTTTTTTGAATAGAGAATCCATTTGAACTTCATTATTTCTGAATTTCTCCAAACCCATGAACACTTTGATATTCTAATTCATTCATTCTTGGCAAAATTGTTTTCTAGAATACTCCTAGTTTTTGAGGAAAATGACTTAAATGTTCCAAGGCTTGGATCATTTCCTTGATATCAAATAACTGTTACAAATCATTGATGAATTAATTGCAAAAGTGTTAGGCATAGTGATACTTAATTTCACTCCCAGTGTGAATTGTTTTATTAAGGACAGAGGTAAATATGCTTGTAAAATGTGGTCTGAATATACGTATACCTGAAATATCAGAATGACAAATACCCAAACATGCTTATGGACACAAATTTTGAGGAGGGCTATTACTGTTTTAATACCAGTATAATAATAATAGAATCTCTCATGCTTGATATAAATCCTAATAGTAATCAACTGCAAAAAAAAAAAAAACCTGGTTAGTCATTATAACTTAGAAAGTTTTTCAATCCCAATTAATTTTACAACAGACAACTTTTCTACTCTCTACAAGTTACAAATCAAAAAAAAAAAAAAGTAAATTCCATTAGGTTATGTACAATTAGTTTTCAAATGGCATGAAGCAAAATATTGATTTTTTTAGAGATAATATGTAAACAAAAATATTGTCAATTTAAGTCTATTCTACTACTTTATGTACCTCAGAAAATGAAGAGCAAAGGCATGGAAAACATTGTTATCTCCCCAAATTCAAAGAGGATTGTTTTCTAGAATACTGCTGCAATTAAAGAGGGAGCAAAAAACTCCCTCTCATTTGCCACGTATTTCTATTCTCTTAAATTTGCTTTATACTGTCTGGGGTTAGAATATCTTTTAAGTTTTTTCTGAAATGTATTTCTATAATTGTTGTATCCCATGTGTGTAATATCATGTCACTTGTTTAACAGTTATCTTATACATTTCAGTTCTTTACGCCTGATTTCCTGTGTGTTCATGAAGAAATTTCTTATCAAATCCAGTGGGACTACACATCGACTACTAGGAAGGATGCTCATTATGTACTTTTTCAGTAAAAACCATACTGAGAATTCTATAATCTCATTCACACTGCCCTCTCTATTGTATGAAAAATCTTGCTGTTGTTGATTTGAGACATTGGATATTCAGTCATAACTAGTGTCAGATCTTTGCAGTTAAGGATTAAATTAAGGCTTCTGGTGCGGTACTTAATGATCAAAATATTTTTCCCAATAAGTTTATATAACCAAGGATAATCATGATGTAAAAGGTTTTTAATGTTGTTTTTAAGAGCAGGTACTAAACTAAGGATGGTTAAGATTAACACAGAAATATTTCGTAAAAAATATGGTAAGCCACTGACATGTATAATTAAATTTTGGAATTTTTATCAGAGTCAAGAGATTGTATCTTATTCGGATTTAAAGAAAATGATGACCTTGTGATTTTCCATTTATTATTAGAATAATAAGTCTGGCATTTCCATAATTATGCAAATTTTTCTTGGTCATTGTATGTAAAATTTTAGGCTCTTTTTAGTTAGTGATAAATTTTAAAATGTATATTTTCTGCTCTTCAAATGATTCTGATAAATGACAGAATCAAATATCAAGGATTTTTCTTTAAAAGTCTGCTTTTATTCACCACTGTTTATTCTAACTTGTATCAAAAAGAGAGCCAAATAACTGGACAAGGTAAATACTTGATTCCATTTAGAGAAATGTGATTTGATTATGGGATGGTTTCTAAAGATGGATCAGAAACTCTCAGAGTAAAATCCCAAGACTGGCTATTTCATGGCTGAAGGTGTTTTCCTTTGAGAAATCTATCATCATAGACTAGGGACTTGGCTGCTTCTGCTCCCAGAGTTAGCCCCAAAGAGAGGTAACTCATCCATGCTTTCATCTAGGCCAGTGGCCGTGAATGGGAAATGGTAATGAGGAAGGTTTCTGGAAGCACTTATTTGGCCTTGTGCTGCTTTCACTACTTCCTCGCTCTCCAGCTGTAGTCCCAAGCTAAGCATGAGCAGACCTCCCCCTAAGAGCCCTCCTTGCCCTACAGAGTTCCCTGACCTTCTTTCAGACTAGCCCCAGACAATAGGGGTGATTCAGTGCCTCGGGTTCTTGTTATCTCTAGAGGTGGACCATGGCAATTGGTTAATTTGAGAACAAATGAAACAAAGCCCAAGAAAAAGGAAAAAAAAATTGCATTTTTATATCCAAAAATTATAATTTTATGCCCTCCCCAACACAAGCTATTTATTTTCTTTCCAGAATATCTATGTTTATCAGTGGCATTTTGGATCTGTGTCAGCTCCCAATCCAAGCCCTAGCTAAGCTTGCTGCCTCAACTTGGAAGGGATCTCAACTTTGAGACTCTGAGGCCAAGGGCATGGCAGGTCACTAGGGATTTAAGGACTGAGGAGGTGGTTACTTGGGTCATCTTTGGAAACAGAACATCTATTCCATCCATCACTTTTCATTAAGTCCAGCCCCTATGTGATGGCAGAAATATAATACTCAATTAAAAAAATCTATTGTTGATTATGTAATCAATTTCTAATTAATTTCACACTGTTTGAGTTAGGCTGATAATTTCCAAAGAGAGAAGGGTACAAACAAAATGTTGGTGGGACTGGGAAATCCTTACTAGTATATGACAACATGAAGTTTAATTTGTTGCAAGTGTGATAAAAGATCATGTCCAGAAGGAAATGACCTTCTCTTTCACAGGGACACAGATTGAAGACTTCTCTTTATATGGTACAGGTAGATGAAGGGGAGAGCTCGTTTACAAAGCCATGTCTAACCATGCAGAATATTCACTAAGGAATGGGGAAAATTGTCATTTTAGACTATTACCAACACATATACACATGTATGTATGTGTATGTCTAACATATATATAAAACTGAGATGGGGTACCTGGTTGGAGCAGCTGGTTAAGAGTCCAGCTCTTTTTTTTTTTTTTTTTTTTTTTTTAGTTTTTTCAGTGTTCCAAGATTCATTGTTTTATGCATCACACCCTGTGCTCCATGCAATAGGTGCCCTCCTTAATACTCACCACCAGGTTCACCCAACCCCCCACCCCCTTCCCCTCCAAAACCCGCAGTTTTTTTCTCAGAGTCCACAGTCTCATGGTTTGTCTCCTCTTGATTTGGGCTCAGGTCATGATCTCAGGGACCTGAGATTCAGCACTGCATGGGACTCCTCACTCCACAGGGAGTCTGCTTGAGGATTCTCTCCTCCTTTGTCTCCTCCCTCCCCCTCACGTTCTATCTCCTTTACTCTAAAATAAATAAACAAATCTTTAAAAAACCTGAGATAGATATTATTTAGTCTGAGAAAATTCCCCAATGTGTGCTAATTTCACACCCCAGAATTTTAAAGTTGTCCCTTCTTCATTTGGTTAACTCCTCTCTTCAATTATATCTTTTAGTGTGGTGGCTAGTTTTCCTCTCCTACACAAATATCTAGGTTTCATATTTCTGCTATTCTAGACAGATTTTTTTCTCTAAAAACAAAACCATTTCTTTCTTTCTTCCTTCCTTCTCCCTCATTCCCTCCCTTTCTCTCTTCTATCTTTTCATTTTTCTTTCTTCTCCTTCCTTCCTTCCTTCGTCTCTCTTTTTCTCTCTCTCTTTCTTTCTTTCTTTCTTTCTTTTTAGCTTTCTTTTTCTTTCTCTATTTATTGGACTAGTATTCATATGGCTATAATAATTTGGGACAAGTGAAGAAAAGAAGTCTATAAACTGCCTCTCTCCTCCAAAATTCTGTATAAATAATCAATAAGAATCTAAGATTCTTGATGCCACTGACCTTATCTGTGTTGTTTACTGCTATATTCCAGGTCCTAGAATGATGCCTGGCATACAGAAGTCACTTGATAAATAACCTCTTGATTTACTGGATTACTAAAAATCACATGGCAATTCTTTCCCCAAATTATCTTTTTACTTTTTTTTTTCCTACTTTTTTTTTTTAATTTTATTTTTTATAAACATATAATATATTTTTTTCCCCAGGGGTACAGGTCTGTGAATCGCCAGGTTTACACACTTCACAGCACTCACCATAGCACATACCCTCCCCAATGTCCATAATAACCCCACCCTCCCTCTCCCAACCCCCCTCCCCCCAGCAACCCTCAGTTTGTTTTGTGAGATTAAGAGTCACTTATGGTTTCTCAATTCTTTCCATGTGCTCTGTGAAACAACTTTTTCACTAGAACAAATTGTCCTATATTCCCAGAGTCTACACTGCTTAGACCGTCTTTTTTTTTTTTTTAAACAAAATTAAACCATATGTTGAGAACACTAATTCCCATTCTCCAGTCACCATGGAATTGGGATTCTCCCTGTCACCCATCCTAGGCCTAGATGACTGTTCTTTCCATTCATCAGTAAAACCTGGCCCTTCTGAGGGCTTTATCCTCATTGACCTCTCTCTTTTGCCAGCAGTGTCAGCCTCTTGCTCTCTCCTCCCCTCATTCACATACATTAGCTCCTGGATTGAAGTCACACTCTCCAGCCAGGGATCCATGTAGATGATGAACCTTGTACCCAGTCCTACACTCCTTTGTTGTCCTTAATGTGTAAAACTTTGACTTCACTATTCTTCACCAAACCACTCATAGTTATGCTCAGTGCAGTTCAGAGGCTGCACTTTGTGTCTTATTATCTCCTATGGCAATACACCCTCCTTTGAAGTGCAAAACCCCATTCATTTATTCTAAGCCAACAATTTATTATCCTTTAATCTCACACTTGTGTTCTCACTATAATGTCCTCCAAACACAAAGGGACTACTGGATTCCTTATCCTTTCATTTTAGTCCCAGTTTTTCAGTCATATCTTGGATTGACCTTCTTCCCCATCCAGGGAAAAATAAGATCATCAGGTAGTACAACACTCATTACCCGGCATTATTTACTTTGAAAAAAAATTCTTACTTTTTGCTTTAATGAAAATCATGACAATTCCTGTACAACAGAGTGCCTGCTTTCAGATACTGTCAAAAATAAATTCAAGCCAGGCATAAAACCTTACTGAGTTTGTCCAGCCATGAGAGCCAGCCACTCTTCTC